GTATCATCAGCAAACTGGCTGACAGTGGATAGTAAGTGAATTGGGAATAAGAGCTCTGAAACTTTGCAATCTTAGCTAAGTGATATAAAGGATTGACTGCACATATATGATCCTTTAGATATAAAGCACTGACCAAGTCTGAGACTAGGATTGGATCCAGACACATGTAGACTACTCTCTGAGAAGGAGTTTAGGGGGCAAGGGGGTGCTTTCTGAACCTCATGATTCAATGGGAGGGTCTCCCTGACAGTTTTGTCTGACTCTGTCCTCTATGCAGTAAACAATCCAGTGACCCTCGCCAGCGAATCTTGTTAAACCGCTGTCACATTTACTAGCAAACTTTGTTAAATTGCTGGTTTGTATCTATAAACATATAGATAATATATCTATAATATAAACATATATTGCTACTTCTCTTACGAGTGAAGTGCATCTCTCCATCCATGACAGCTTGCAAGAACTGGAAGCCGGTTCTCCCTAGATTTGCTTCAGGTTGGGGATTTTGGTTTTAGTTTCAGTACATCTAAAAGATCTCTATACAAAAGTTTGGAAGGTTTCCTAATCAACTCAAATTTGGTGGTCTTGAAAGCACCCCACACTTCCAAGCTTCACACAGTAACCCAAACCAAACAATGTGATAATAAAGGCCAGTGCCCACACCTGAGCAAGTGTGCAACTGATGTACCCTCTTCACCCTTGTACAACAGGAACATCTTGCAGAACTCAAGCAGGAAAGTCTAATGTGGTCTGCTAGGTCCACTATGAAGACTATTACGCAATCTTTGAGCTCAGGTAGAGTGGAGCAGACTCTCCTACTTCACTCTAAGACAAGTGGAACAATCTTCAGTTGTCCTAGAATGAAGTCTATTTATTTATAATGACAAATTCAAATCAACAAAGACAAATTAAAAAGATGCTTTAAAGGAGCCAATTTTTAGGAACCGTATCCTAGAGACTTATACTCACCTTTGCTTTTGACTTCCCAGCTGACTCCAAACTTCAACTACAAAACCATCAAAATTTTCATTCTAAATAAAGGGAATTGACAATAATATACAGTTAATCATCATGCTAATTCATGATGCTTGTACCAGAGATGATAGTACAAGAAAAACAACAGTAATTGTGTGCATTGATATTGTCTGATTACAGATTGAACATGCTTTGTATTCTTAACCAGCTTCATCTTTAATGCAGCATTTCATGAAGAAGTCAAAGAGAAGCACAAAGTATTTAACAAACAAGCAAAACTTGAAAATCTTTATTAGTTATCCATTACTTCTACTCTTACAGGACAAACGAGTATCAGATTGGGAAAATTCAGCCATTAACAAAAGACAGTTGTGAAGCAAACCATTTGACATCCATTTACATGTATATTGAGAAAAAACTCCTGAGCTCTTGAGTCTAGAGATGTAAATGCTAACTTGGCATAGGCCTGATTCCAAACATCTCCCACAATTAATCTCACTTGTGATAATTTATGTTTACCACGATCAAGGTTACTGTTGCACTTGAGTACCCTTTCCTTAAGAGGCCAGCTGTTACTGAGGACCTAAAACTGATGTATTAGTTACAGATTTTAAGAAACTATTCAGTTTACCTTTACATCCATCTTCCTCTAGAGCACATTAAGATTTCTTTACATTGTGGAGCAAGTGAGAAAACTTATTCTGACAGTAATTAAGCAGGGTGCCATGAATCAACCACTAAAGTTGAATGCCTTTTGGGTGCAACTTGTCCAGTCCTACCCATGCATAGCTTTAAAGCCATTAGCTTTAAGAGAGGCTGCCAAGAAAACCTTAGCAAACAGTAATCATTCCTTAAAGGAAATCCTCTTCTCCTCTCCCCAGCCTCTAAACATTTTAAGAGAACTGGTTTTGCTCAGATCTGAACAAAACTGTACAGTAACAGATATGCAGTGAGTTATTCTTAGTATTACAAGTGGGTCATTAGCTCTAGCACACTGAGCCTGAATGTACTCCAGTAACACATCAAAAAGAGCACACATTGCACCCATGAGCCTTTTCCTGCCTATCAAAAAACACCACTAATCAGTTTAGCCCTTGCTTAATAGATTTTTGGGGTTTTTTTTTTATAGAAATTTGAAAGAAAGCAGTCTGCTCACTAGGCAACCTCCATGAGAAGTTATCCATCGGGTACCCACTACCTCCTTAGTAACAGTCAGCCTGTCAGCTGTTTGGAACAGGTTTTATCAATCCCAGTTTATACCAGGCAAAAGTCAGCAGTGCAGCTGCCAGTGATAACAAGGTTACGTTGATCAGACTTACCTGTCTCACTTCAGACTTGTAGTTAACTGCACCCAAGTGTTGCTAAATTTCATATTTACAGGAACTGGACACATACTAGGATACACTATTAAGAATCCTGCCTCTGTAGTGTTTTGAGCAGAATTTTATTTTGTAGAATATAAAACTACTGGAAATGAGAAAATACCCATTACAAAAGGAATCAAATACAATCTCACACTATTTTATAAACATTAGCATTTTTACCTTGGCTAGCAGAACCATGCTCTTGGAAAGCTCCTCGATCTCATCCTCACTGCCAAAAACACTCTCGAAATCCTGGTAAGTCCAGCCATCAAACAAAATTCGAGGCACTATCAAGCAAAGACATCAAACAGTAGTGAAAATTAAGAATTTATTATGTACACTGGAATATTTCTGCAGAAACTGAATACAGCAGATACAAGTAGAGATACCACTAAACAACATATCCCATGACTAAGATCATTGCTATTTTACTGTGACCAACTTTAGCAGCACAGAAGAATTGACACTGTGGAACATTCTTTTTCATTTTATATTACTTCACTCTTCTACTCATCTCAAGACCCTATGACAAGTTTTTATTTTGGAAAATACAGGCACTTGAGCTCACATAATTTCTTTTTCTAACAACATAAAACATAAAAAACATAGTGTCACCCAAGAGTCAGCAAAACTCCTGTTGGGACAGTTAATCATGCACACTGGAAAAGTCAACAACTCATACAGACCTATGTCTCAGCCCTTTCTAACTACCAAGAATGTAAAAGGGTATTTTAGAAGAGACTAGAGAGATTTCAAAGGTTTTATCATCTGGCAGCTGAAGTAATTTAAAATATCTGACTGAGCATTCAACTTTTCTAATGCATTTCAGGTTTCCTGTTCCCTTCTGAATCAAGAGGGGTTTCGCAGTTCACAGAATTCTTGCTACAGACAAATGCAGGAAGCCTAGCACAGGATTATGTCTATAGCAATGTTCACCATTTGCCCTAAAGACACACACCGTGACACATCCCTTGAGGTCCCAGCTTCAAGGGGAGAAGAGCCAAAGGAGGGCTCTCTACTATCATGCAGGAAAGTCTGACTGACTTAGATTTGGATTTTTTTTTTTTCTTTTTAACTAAGTAGAGCCCCTGAGCAACAAGTTTGAAGACTGCTCCCCCAGGTAAGCACATAGTGTTACATACAAAGAACCCTTCCAGAGAGGGACCTCTGACCCAGGGTTTATCCAGACAAAAAGTTAAGGCAAAACATTAGGGCACGAACAGGATCCACACTTCAGTTACTTAACTCTCTAGAGTCAACTGCTTTTGTGTTTCTTCTCAGACTTCTTCCTTCATACAACTATGCTAAGGTTTCTCCCTTTTACCCATATACACCTGGAACAAAGCCTTCTTTTGCTCTGCTAGCAGTTAAAGAAGATTAAAATCAAACAAACATCAAAGAGAAGCTCACCTATTCTGATGTTTTTGGACGTTTTTCTGACATCTTTCATCCAGCCTGTCAAACAGTATTACGAGAAGAACTGTTAAAATATAAACAGTGGTGACAATGACAACATATTTTCAAGCATTCTTCAAATAATGTAGCATCTTTTCATTATATCTTCCTGCTACAGACTACTAGTTCATAACCAACAGAGACCAAACACCCTTTGATGAACAGAATTTGAAGCTATTCACCTCCACCACAGCGTAACTAGCATTTACCACAATCTTACAATAGTCCCTACCCAGCCCCTCCCTGCAGTTCTGCCTCATCATGGAAATGATCTGATCGCCTATTCAGAACACTTCTCTAGTGACATCAAGATCACCTGGGAGGATCTTTTTTTAAATTTTTTAATACTTTTTTTTTTAAGATGGCACTGTCAAGTGTCCTATCGCCTATTCAGAACACTTCTCTAGTGACACCAAGATCACCTGGGAGGATCTTTTTTAAAATTTTTTAATACTTTTTTTTTTTTAAGATGGCACTGTCAAGTGTCCCACCCACTTCTCTTGGCAGTCATTGCACTAGCATGAATTTGTTAGTAGTCACCAACACAGTTAAGAATTATAAGTGTTTCAAATGAGATTCCACATTCAATCAAGTTCAAAACCATAAACTACTTAGTTATGACTTAGGAATATACTAGCTGAAATCTGAACTTGCTGCCAGTTTCTTGACAGTGAAGGAAAAAATTCTCTTCAGACTAAATGTATCTTCCATTCACAAAACAAATTCACCCCAAGGTTTTAACAAGGGGGAAAAAACAAACCACACCAGGTAAACAACTGCACAGTGCAAACACCAAAGACTGTTTCTGCCTGTACAGATTCCTTGTCCCTTCTTTTTTTTTTAGAGGGGCTGTGGAAGCAGCTGGGGACAGAAAGAAGTTCACTCTGAAGAAAACTCCCCAAAAAAACAGAATGGATGAAAGTACTTCACCATGAGGCAGAGCCAGAAACACCCACATGCATCTATTCCAAAAGCTACCTAGTCTGCAAAAGACCAGTAATCTTATTTGCAATGCATCTTCAAAGAAAAAGAATATAACACCTTCATCAGCATCATGGAGCCCAGTGAACTGGAACCTTTCCTTCCCTCTCCTTTTCACTTGTAGCCAGACTGGTGAGATTAGTGTAAATTTGTTTCCAAACATTTTAGCAATGTCATAGCCATGGCTGTTCCACTTGCAAAAGAAAAGAGAAAAAAAAAAAGAGTGAGAGGCTCAAAAGCAAGACAGATAGTTCATTTTACTTTGACTCTTTAACACAAATGTAATCATCTACCAGATCCCTATTTGTCAGTTTGAGGAAACCTTCTGGAACGTTATTTTTATTTAAATAAGAAAGTACTCTGGGAACTCTGGTAGTTACATGAAAGGCATTCTTCAAATTGCACCGAGTCACTGGAACTACAGGAATCTGTACATAGATTCCAGCACAGTTTTGAACTGACAACTCTGCATATATGTTCATGAGAACCAGAGAAAGGTGAAAATTTATAAGGCACCTATTTCTCTTTTGAGCAGTGTAAGACTGAAACAAGTGAGAAGCATCCTCTAAACAAAAGAAAGAAATATTAATTATTCAATAAAGGATGCTTTGAATAATAGTAAGATGGAATAGCAAAAAAGATCAGTTTGAGAGCAGCATAAAAATTTTACTATTTATTTAGAAGTTTCAAGTTGGTAGCTCCATGGTATGAAGACACTTAGTAGCTCTCCTGTTCTGACTTTACTGCAACTTCACACGGCTCACCAAGGACAAGAGAACACTACTGCCTCTGTTTTACCAGTGGGAAGAAAAACAATATGACCTGGACATCCTCCAAGAGCCGAACAGGAGAACGAGGGTTTGAGATCACCTGAATCCCAAGCCAGCTCTCAAATAATCCTCTGGCTAGCTGACTGCATTTGACCAGAAGTTTCCATTATTATAAGAATGCTTTTAAAGCAGGGATGCAAGATTGCAGATTAGCACAGTCTGCTGCATATTCATTCAAAGCACCTATTAATTTTATTAACTTACTGGAGTAATATAGCCCAGAACATCTCCTGAGAAACGTCTTTGCTTCATCTTCTTGGAGCAGTAACTTCTGTGTTCCAGTATAATATCCTTTGCCTTTGGATCCACAACTACCAGTCCCCGGTCCTGCACACTTTTATCAGAATGCAGCGTCTGGAGGGAAAATATAATACAGTTTTTAGAACCAGCTATACAAAGCAGCCACTTTCAATAGCAATAGACTTTGGAGAAAAACAAAACAAAACAAAACCATCATAAAACTCTGAGCACTAATTTTAAATGAAGCAGAGCAGTTTGATTTAAAACTGAAACGGGGAAGTGCACAGAAAAGATTTGTCATCATCAGTAAACTTACTTTGTTTGCAAGGCAAAAAGCACACAAGCAAAAAAAAACCAAAACCAAAACAAAACAAAAAAGTGCTAAGGTTAAAGGACATAATTCAATCAGTCACCACAGCTGATGGTGCTCTGCTCTCCAGTCAATGGTTTCTGGCATGTCAACCCCAAAATTATAACAAGGGGTTAGAAGTTCCCAACCAAGAATTTGAAGCTGACTTTTAAACTGGATCTATTTTAGGCTGAGCACACTGCATTGTGCTTACTGAAGGCCAAGGTTCTGAACACCTTTCTTCAAGGTAGATCTGCTTCAACTAAACCAGCACAAATGGTTTTAGCAGACAGAAACAGAGAAGGCCTAATAAAGTGTGCATGGCAAGTAGCACGCAGAAACCATCTATTGATTCTGCATAAGGACTTTAGGGATAAGGCTTGTCTTAACACTTTGTATTATCCTCACTACCTGCAGACTAGATTTTCTTCCTGGTAGATGTTGATCAAGCAAGTAGTACAAACAATGAGATGCATCTGCATAATGAAGGATTAATTAGACTTAGAATTTAAAGGAGAGGATTTAACATGTCTACTTTTTTACCTAACATGCTTAGCAACAGAAAGTACACATCCTTGGTGTATGCACAGGTAAATATACTTCCTCTCCACACATCCCCTTTCTCTTGCAGTGCTGTGCCTTCTTGCAGTTTGGAAAGAAAGCACCAGGAAACAATAACATATTCAGCAAGTTAAGAGAGACTTCAGCCTGTTGGCTCCACCTGCTCACATTGCTGGGGGACTCTGAATCATTTCTGCCTGCAAAGGAACTGCTGGTTAGAAGGCTCTTCAAACTCTTGTATCAGGATAGAGCCTTCCCATTGGCAAGGCTGAGCACACCTTTCCTTCCACCAGGAAATGATCTAGCACTCTTGGCTCAAACTACTGCTCCCCACCCCGCTGTTCATCCCACCAAAGGGATGGAAGTGTGTCTCCTTCAGCTATGCAAGAGGGGACAAAAACTTCCTGCTTCTGCAGCTTGCAAGGGGGATAAAGCCCTGAAATCTACATCGCATTGATTCAAGGAGTGAACCGTCTGACACTCAAAAGCCAAAGGAAAGGCCAGTTTCAGGCAGTCTTCTTTGTGAGCACCAGCTTCAGTGGAAACGCATTGTTGCTTTTAACGCTGTTTTCACAGAATGAGAGTCCATTTACCAAAGCTTAATTAGCTCACTGCACATGTTAGATGTGACTGAAACACTCAGCTTTTCTCTTACCTTTTCTTCCAGTTTTTTTGTAGCAGCTTTCTTTGCATCTGTTTTTGACAGGGTACCTTCAGCTAGGTAAGGTACCCAGCAAATCACGGTAAGTGAAAGCGAAGTACAGAGAAGCCTCATGGTGTTTTTCCTCATATGAAGTTTCTACTGTCCTGAAAACATAAGAGTTCAAATCTCTGTAAACAGAAGAATACTTTAATTACGTTTTCTTGTCTAAGAAAAGTCAAGCAATTGTCTTATCTTCTGCCCTTTATAATTAGGTTTATTAAGGCAGTACTGTTTTAATAGTGCTTGAGCTCTGACAGCAAAACAGTGGAGTGTTTTAAGAGATTCCTAGGCTCAAACATCTCTTATCCCTTCTTTTATCAGGTGTGTCAGAGTAAAAGTAGGTTGGACACTTGCAGCCTCCCTTTTAAAGAATCCCTAAAGAAGTATAATAGTTTACAGCCGCAACTGAGATAAATGTCTGCTGCCCAGAACAATTATAGTACCACTTTACCTTTCCTATAGCAAATAGGAGATACCATTTGTTTCTGCCCCTGCCTAACCCAGTCAGCAAGTCACAAATTAATTAAGAGACAGAAAGAATTACAGCTATGTGCTTATAGCTATGTGCCTTTGCTCTAACAGGTGAGAACTTTGCTTTCAACTCCTTGACAAGTCAGTGATACACACAGAATTGAGGAAAAGAAAAACAAACAAACAAAAAACCAAAACCAACAGAGGTGATTTTGGTCCAAAATAATGACTTTGACAAGCTCCAGATAAAAGAACTCAGAATTAATAGAAGACAGTTCTGTTCAGTGCTATTTATCTATCACACCTTCTGTTAGAGGAAAAACTTTCCAAAAAAATTTCAAATACAGCCAGAGTTTGTTTTTCAGCCTCTTCCCATTCAGGAGCCGCACTGGTTTTCCAGCCTAGCTCCCGTAAGTGGATAAAAAGAAAAGAGAGATAAAATATTTAGCATTACTGGAACCAGTGTGGACAGAGGTAAAATACCAGAATGAAGAAAAGTAACCTGTTACTAATTCTGGAAGTTCTAAGTATCAAACTGGGGTTAACTGTCATCTGTAATAAACTAGAGGCTCTAGATATGTATCAGGCTGCTTCTCATACCATCCTAATGGAGAAGGAAAAAAGGTTACCTTTCCCATAATTTTCTGAAGTTTTGTCAAACTTAAATTCTCAGCCTTATAGAATCCCAGACTGGTCAGAGTTGGAAGGGACCTTAAAGCTCAGCCAGTCCCAACCCCCCTGCCAGCAGCAGGGACACCTTCCACTAGACCAGGCTGCTCAAAGCCTCATCCAGCCTGGCCTTCAACACTTCCAGGGAGGAGCAGCCACAGCTTCTCTGGCCAACCTGGGCCAGTGTCTGACCACCGTCACACCATTCCTGTATTACTCTGAAGAATTAACATTTCTACTGCTCACTTTAAAAAACTTACAAGCTCATTTCTTCAAGTCATATTTACAAAACTTGTTCTGTTGGCACTGATAAGAAGTGCTGTTCAAAGTTTGAGTATTTTGTTTCTGTATAAAACATCAGGTGAGGGATCCCACAACAGCAGACCGAGCACTCTAAAGGAGTACTGAGGCAGTAACCTGGTGGCAGAAGGGACTGTAAAGGCTAAATGGAAGTGTGCTCAATGAAGCAGCAGCTATTGGAGGCCAACAGTTGCAATGCAGAGATGAGATCAACAACCCAATAAACTTAAACATATTTGGATATGGCTGGCTTAGCAGTGAGGTTTTAAAGAGTAGAGATATTTATTGCAAGTGTTAGGCATCCTGCAGGAAAACAGAGAGGAGTACGTGATTAGGGAATAAAGCAGAAAGATGATGTCAGCAGAACTGCTTGAAAAAAAACCCAATGCCACTAGCACCAAAGTACACAGAGCATCAAAAATCTCATGTACAAAATGAAGGTTTTAGTCAAGTCTTATAAAGACTGCAAAGTAAAAGCAGAAAGCCTTCTAATACTTCTTGGCTCCAGCAGACAGGGTAAAAGATAAATTGCTATACTATTTGAAATTTACTATTATTAAGTTAAGGTGTTATGCTTCTACTTGGACTTCAGGGTCCTTGTCTTCCACATCCTAAAAAACTAGACAAAGCAGTTGCTCTTGATGGCATTTACGCTGTTCCATCTAGTTTGGCAGGATCTATAAACTACTGCAGAGAGGAACAACTTAGAGCCTAAATAGTCAATACAAGTCTCAATTATTTGGACAGGATATCAATTCTTCCACAGGTGGTATATTTGATTTGGAGGTGTTTGATTTCACTTTCAGAAACAATTAGCAACAGCATCAATTTCCCTGAAGTTAATTTTTAACAACTGAAGAACAGAAGTTTTAAAAACCATCACTGAACTCTAATTAAACATCAAGATGTGCTCGTTTCCTTGACATGATCATACCCACCTACCAATTATTGTTAAGTCAACATCCCCTCCTTGATCTATAGGAAGCACTGAGCCTGCAGCAAAATGGTCTCTGACAGTAACAGCCCAATATTGACTCTTGGTTGGAACCTTATTTTAATAATTTGCTCTTTAACAACATTGGTTCAGTGAAAATTAAGCAGATAGCAACACTCTACTACATGAAGATTAATTAGTCAAACTTTAAATGCTCTTTACAGAAACTACAGCATTAATTTCTGCAAGCTTTACAAAACTAGATCCCCATCAAGTTTTTCTTCTGCAAACCTTCCTTCACCATTTTTTAATTCTCCTCAAACTAACTAATCTGAGTAGAACTGTATGAGCTTGGCACTCTTGTTCATCTCCTGTATCACTGCAAAACACAAGCAAAATTGAAGACTGATTCTGTTTGTGTCCTTGTTCAACTGATACTATGGACAATTCATGGTTTAAAGCATCTTTCGACAAACTGATCTGAAGCCTACGTTCCTCTCTAAGGCAGATCACAGATGTTGTTCAACCTGAGGCTCCACATGAGGTAACTTATAGTCAGCTGTTTTAAATGCATCTTTATTTTTAAAAGAGACAAAAGTTGTCACAGATTTAGGCAGTCCAAAAGAAGCAACTAAACAAACTAAATAATCTTGGAGGCTGGCATACTAACTCTTTGCAAATCAGTTAACATTTATACTGTAGTTCTAAAGAAGGAACTAGACTACTGCTGGGGAGGAACTCTGCACCTCTTAGTTAAGGGAAGCACACTGTTGATGTGGTTTTAAATTAAATTAACGGAAGCTGGATTCAGGAGTGAAAAAAGTGAAAATAAACCCGTTTCTA